CATGAGGAATCCATCCTGACAGCTTTCTCCCCGAGCTATCGCGGACGTGGTTTCTGGAAGTTGCTCAGTGCTCACATGTGAGTGCTTTGCACCAAGATGCAACTCGTGTAGATCCTTTGAGCTGGGCTTTTGCTCCCTGGCCTAACGAGACAGCCACCTCCTACCATGGGGCAGGAAGGAAGGGCTAACAGGAGCCGTGCTGGACTCTGCAGGGAGCCCATCCAACCTCCAGGGCAAAGAGAAGCCCAGAGGCGGAGGATGATGAAGCGGTGGGGTAGGAAGAGGAGTCTCCAGAGAAGACCCCTCGTTTGAAGACAATGACTTGATTCATCCTCCTAGAACACAGACCAGTGCAAGGGTTGGTTGGTTTATTGGAAGCTGACCTGTGACCTGGTCAGTTCAGGAGGAGGGGAAGGAACAGACAAGCTCTCGCATGAGTCCCTCTCCCTGCAGATCAGGCTATAGCTCTAACTGCTTGGTGCAGTTGCTACTCCCTCTCCTCACTACCGTGTCAAGGGGAATGTAGCAGACCTCTTGTCTGAGGAGCTGCTGACAGGGCTGTGAGCATCCCTCTCACCTCTGGATCTATAATGCATGGGAAAGGCATTGGTAAAACCCTAGCCTGGGCTGATTTCACCCACGAGCCCTGTGCTCTCTGGTTTCGGCACACAAGGGGGAGTCAAGGGGGCTGGAAAACAAGGGCTTGTGTTGTTTCCAGTTGGCTGCTGGGATAAGGCATGTGGGGAGCTGGGCTGGCCTGGGGCACACACCAGGGCCTCTGCCTCTGCCCTCCAGGTGCCCAGAGCAGTCGGATTTATGCTCAGCGCAGCTTGCTGTGGCTCAGCACACACATGCCCAGTGAGGCCTAGACACTGGCCCCTCCCCCACAAACACTCGTGGGAGCTGATGAACAGGTTGGGGAGAGAGCAGCAGAACAGCCTTGTGTCCAAACCCCACTGGGTGGTGCCTCGGAGTGGCAGTCAACTGCTCCATATCAGGGCTAGACAGAGGCCACTTTATTCCCAGCGAGGAGCGGCTGTGTGAACTCCCCATCTGCCAGCCAGCACACACCAGGCACTGTTTCCCCCACCCCACTACCCCCGGAGCAAGGGTCCAATCCTGCCAGTGCTCCACCTACCCACTGGGGCCCCTACATGGTTCAGCACAGAGATGGCTCCTTGTCTCTCCCAGCCACTGCATGGGGCTCATCAAACCCAAGGGGGGGTGGAGATCAGACTTCCCCTCCTTCCCCCCCCCTCCCCGGGCTAGGCTGCCCTCCACACCTGAGAACTGCCAACTGGAGACAACGCCAGCCCTGCTCCCTGTTTTCCAGCCCCCTCGGCTCCCCCTTGTGTGCCGAGACCGGAGAGAACAGGGCTCGTGCAGCCATGTGGGTGAAATCAGCCCAGGTTAGGGTTTTACAAATCCCTCTCTCATGAACTACAGATCCAGAGGCGTGAGAGACGCTCAGAGACCTGCCCCCATGAGCATTTTTTAAAGAGTATATTGTGGGGGGGGAGGAGGGTGTTTGCACCCCCCCTGCCCATCTCCACTGTGTGAGGGACAATGTTGCCAACACTCCCACATTTACTAAGGAGATTCTGGCCCCTGCTGCAGGAGCCCTCACCCCACATCTGCCCGTCCACCTGCCCAGAAATTAATTCTGCCCCCAAATCAGTCCTGCCCCCCACCTGTGTTCATCCTGCAGCTCCCAGGGCTCCTCACCCCACCCTCCTAGGCTGTGCTGCAGGGGAGGGGAGGGGAGAGGAACTGTCCTGAGTGGCTGGGCGCTTTAGTCCTCTTCCACCCCCATGAGAACAGCAGTGTTAGCTCCTGGGGTGGGGGAGAGCCCTGCCTGCCTCCTGCAGCAGCTCTGACCAGTCTGGACGAGGTCAGTGGGGAAGGCAGCCGATCATAAGGGTTTTCCATCTGCCCAACCCCCATGAATCCAGACTGCTTCATGCCCAGACCCTCCTGCTGAGCCTCACGCCCCATGCACCCAGACCCCCCCGCCCAATGAGCCCCACTCCCCCTGCACCACCCTAACGAGCCACCCACACCCGGATCCCCAACCTGCTGCACCTGGATCCCCACCCACTGAGCCCCACTCCTCTAGGATCTGGACCCCCCCAGTGAGCCCCCCACACCCAGATCCCCCTTGCTGAGCCCCAGCCACCTTCACCTGGACCCCCCTGCAGAGTCCCATTACTGTTGCACCCAGAACCCCCCAACAAGCCCCTGTGTATCCAGATCCTCCACTGAGCTGCCAGTACCCCGATTGGCCCACACAGAACCCACACCTAAATCCCCCACACTTGGATCCTGCCTTGCTGAGCCTGCCTGCCTGCCCACACCTGGTGCACCTGGCACGGAGGGGCAGGGCTCTGGGGTGTTTCTGGGGAAAGCCTGGTCCTTGCACTGTGTCAGGGTTGGGTGCAGTCTTACCACTGAGTCTGTGTCCCCAGGCGAGAGCTGCACAGTGATCTCCCACCTCTGTGCAGCCTGTAGCCTGTGCTCTCCAATGCAACGCTGGAGCCTTCACATTTATTTTACAATTAAAATATGCAGAATTTTAAAATACTGTGTGCAGAATTTTTAATTTGTTGGTGCAGAATGCCCTCAGGAGTAACAGACAAGAAAGGAAATGAAGAGCTGTGTGAATTTCAGGTCCTGTTGGGGAGAAAATCTCAGTTTGACCAATGGAGTTTCCCCATTCAGTGGGGATGTAGCTGTGACCCTCCAGCTTCTAAGAGAGGTTGATACAGGTGAGGGCGGAAGAGACGGAATCCCGGCCCATCTTTCAGGAAAGGGTTAGTCTGACCCCTCGCTGTGCAGATGGCTAGGATGGGGCCTGTGTGGACTGATGACTGCAGCATCTGGAAGGTTTAAGAGACTTGAAGGTCTGGTTCGGATCACTGGCGTAAGCTCTCTGACATCAGCATAGTTTCTCTTGATTTCCAGCAATGTGAGATTTGAATGTCCTCTTAAATTTCCACTTCCAGAATTAAGGAAGCAAAAGCAGTATTTTTAACTTGGCTAGTGAGCATGAGAACCTGAAAGTGTTTTAGTCAGGTCCCCTCCATAGCCCCCAGATAGCAGAAATCTGCTTGGGGCCAAGGGAGACCCATCTCTCCAGATGCTGATAGGCTATTACAGCTGTGGGATTAATGCAAAAAACCAAGCAGAATGCGAACAGATCAGCAACGCAGCCACTTAGCCAAAGAAAAACACTTCGCATTAGTCTGATCGCTGACCATCTGCAGTACTTCTGGTTCTTGCTCATCATTCAACGCTGTACACGGAACCTGACATCTCGGTACCTGAGTTCCTCAGAGAGGCCTCCATAGGCACCAACATAAGGCTGTGCATCCACCAAGGAAGGATTCAAAGGAGCACACTCACTGAACGTAACTGGCAGGCAAGATGCACAGCCTAGGGTTTGCAGTTGTGAAAAGGGGCTGTGCGCTGATTTGATTGCTTGCACTTTGGTAGTGCAAGGCTGGAGTGACATCCGAAAGAGGCAAAGCGTTTAAACCCCAGCAAGAAATCTGGCTCAGGCTCTAGCATTGTTTGACTGGGAACTGTTTTATAGTGAGCTCCAGAAATAAGTTGTGCAATATATAATTTATCTGTCAAAATATTTATAAAACAAGTGCCTCTGCCCGGGTCTGCTGGAGTGTAGCTAGGTTTGAAATTGCATAGGAGGAGGTGGTAGCAGTGCCACAAATTGTACATGCTGAAAGATTTTTAAATTCACTTTTTGTTTATGCTTTGTGCAGGTTGCAGGGGAGATTTTTAATGTGGAGGGTAATTAACTGTTGGGCAACTTTACCAGGAATGTGGCAGATTCTCTGGCAGTTGGGAATCTTTTAAAGCAAGATTGGATGCGTGGCTAAAAGATAAGCCCAGTAACTTGTGGCCGGACTACAGCGTGGCAGCCGTGGGGCTGAGCTGTGAGCACTTGACTGTTGTATGTGACCTGGTTATTGCACTAGTAACTGTAGAGCTATGCTGGGATATTGGAATGGCCACGGTAGCCATGTCATCCCAGAATATGTGAGAGACAAGGGTGGGGGAGGCAATATCTTTTACTGGACCAGCTTCTGTTGGTAAAATAGACAGACCGGCTTTGAGCTACACAGAGCTCTTCTTTGAACTGTTGTTTTAGAACCCTGTTTCTCTTATGCATTGCTGTGTCCCTGCTGTTAAGATTGAACAGTGCTCTAAGAGAACTGTCTGGTCCCTGCATTCACTGCTGTCACAGGGCGACGTGCAAGGGCCAAGCCCAGTCAGACCTGCTGAGCAGTCAAAGCTGGGACACGGTGCTGCAATCCAAGACCCAGTCTGAGAGTGGGAAACGAGTGGGATTCCACCCCAGGGGGGTGCAGGCATGAGGTTTGAGACTGCAGTGGTGCCCTCGGAGAGAGTCGAGGTGAGTCAGCAGTGCTGCTAGCCCTGTGGCCATACAGGAATCCTGGCTCAGGTTCTCTGGCCTATGTTGTGCAGCAGGTCAGATCTGCTGATCAGAATGATCCCTTCCTTCCATTAGATTAATGGAGATCTGTCTAAACCATGAGATTGCTCTGAAAATCATTTCCGCCATGGACCTGCTCTCCAAGCCCTGCCTGCTCCGGGAAGGATGCCCTCCTGGCCCCCACCACGGTGCTCTTCTATCTGGCACGAGTCCAGTTCCAACACTTGATAAAGAATTTGTACTGTGCTCCTAGTGACTCTGAGGCTGCCAATCCAAGCAGTGAGAATGTGGCTTGTAGTGGCAGCCCAGACAGGCCCTTGAGGGGGCCTCGCAGCTGTGCAGAACAGGCTGGAGACTGCTGCCCAGCAGATACATGCCTCACAGAATGAGAATCCTGGGCTTAGATCCTCTCCTAGAAATTGCTTTCAGGGCTTGGATGGTCCATGCTGGAGGCCCAGGCTCTCTCTGATGCCTGCTGGCAGCAGGGGTGAAGGAATGTGGTGCTAATGTTCAGTGTCTTCCACAGGAGGTGATTGTCCCAGAAGTGAAGTGGAGGAAGGTTTCCCCAGCATCTCTCTCCCTATCTCTCCCGGATGCAGACTACCAGTGCATCCACCGAGCGTCCATCAGCAGCCTCAGCACCAAGGAGAGCTCTTTTAATTCCGAGGAGCCCCTGGTATCAGGTGAGGGATGCCGGGGACAGAGGGTTAGAGCTAGTAGCCAGCTCTGGCAGAGTATTTACATTTGCGCCTGTGATTTGCCTTTGGGAACGTTTCTCTGGCCACTGTCCTCCTTTTGACGGTTTGTTTGGCTTATTGCACTGAAAACATTTTACAGATGGGGAAATAGAGGCACGAAAGCGACGTGATTTGGTTAGGGACACAACGAATACGGGTCAGCACTGGGATTAGAACTCAGCATTCCTAGTTTTCACAGCTCACTAGGCCAAACCTCTGCCAAGTGCTGCATAACTGAGAATACGTTCCCCTGGCTCCTGTGTAGCCCTGGTGCCCATCTGTGGGTGGAGGATACTAAAACAGTGTCCAGGAGATGGGAGCACTGGCCTCCAAGGAAGGAGGAAATAGTATCTGCTGCCTCTTGTGTGAAGAAATTTCCCTTTGGGAATCCTGGCCATGTGATGGAGGAATATTCCCATTGGAGCTCTGGGGAGGGTGTGTGCAGGTCAGAGTGGTTTCGTGGGCTCTATGGAACATAACTCTCGTTCACTAACGGCGAAGGTGCGTGTGGGGCTGCTGTGCATTGCTCTGTAGCTGTATCCCCTGGGGATCGCACAGGGAGAGGACCCCATGACCTCTCCCTAGATCAGGAGGCCAAGCCAAGACCACAGCTGAAGTGGACTGTCCTTGGGAGAGGAGATTCCTGTTTGAATACAACTCTTGCCCATTACATGTCTGAGGCAGAAAGAGCACAAAAAGCTGCCAGTAGGTTTCTTTGCAGATTCCTCAGATCCAGCTCTGATGAAAGAAGAGAAATGCTGAGCCTGGGGTGTAATTAGCACATCTAAGAGCTTAGGTCTGGTTGGATTGCCCTGTTGGAGATCTTGCTGTAGAAGCCATGTTCTTCTTGACTGTGAGAGGGTTTGGCCAACCTGTCCTGAAATGTGGGTCAGGAAATCTACAGAAGGTGCCCAGACAGCCTTGCTTTTGAGAGGGATGTTTCTCTCTTTGATGTGCATGGCTTCATGCCATTACCTGCCATGAGTCTTAGTAGGACTTGCCCTTTGGGAAGGTACCTTCGTGCCTGCACCGGACAGCAAAGGATTAAAGGCATTTACTTTGTAAGTATCTAAACTGCCTAGGGAGGTTGTGGAATCTCCATCTCTGGAGATATTTAAGAGTAGGTTAGATAAATGTCTATCGGGGATGGTCTAGACAGTATTTGGTCCTGCCATGAGGGCAGGGGACTGGACTCGATGACCTCTCGGGGTCCCTTCCAGTCCTAGAGTCTATGAATCTATGAGACAGTTCAATTGTGCTGGGCGTCCCTCAGGTGATGTGGTGAATATTGAGCAGGTTCTTAGTATAATGGAATTGAAGCAGAGAAACTCATTAAAAAGGTAGGGGATTACAAATGGATTTCCCTAGGGACAGGAACAGGGTCGTAGCGAACGATCAGGAGGGCATGGTATATCAGGGCTTTTATCGCTGTTTGAGGCTGGTTCAGACAATTGAATTGGGTCCTTAAGCTAGTCTGTCAGTTTCATTTAGGTGTCTCTTTGCTTTTGTTTCAGAAAGTGCAATAAATACAGAAGAGGAGGAATTGGAGGAGGAACCAAACTATGTAGCAGAGCTGAGACCGTCTGATTATCAGCTCTTGAAAATCTTCATCGTACTGTAAGCATGCAGTCAGGCATACAGATAGCTACGTGGGAGCAGAGTGGGGAGCTGAGTGCATTGGCTGCAGATCCTTTTCCCTAGGGCTCATTGGTCCAGTCACACCCAAGTCAATAGCAACTGGAAGTCGTTACAATCTGACAGTCCTGTAGTGGCCTGTGTGACATGATGTGGGCTCAGTCCAGTTCCTAGACAGAGATCCACGCCACAGTTGGCACCAGCAGCGGAGAAGGCTTGGGATTGAACCACCTTCTCGGCAACAGACACACGTTGGCAGTGGAGGGGGAGAGAATACCAGAGAGAGAGCTTCCTACACTGTTAGAAAGGGATTGCAGGCAGTGATGGATTAGCCACTGGGCCAATAGGGCCTAGAAAAATGGGCACTCCGCTTCCCCCACCCGCCTGGTGCTCTTGCCGGGGAGCAAGGGAAGCCCCCGTGCCCCAACCCCGCTCCCTGGCAGGAGCACCAGGAGGGGCGGTGGAGGACTGCAGGCGGAAGGGATGGGGGAAGGCCCCCACTTGCTCTGGCCCAGGGCCCCACAAAACCCTAATCTGCCTCTGATTACAGGCATTCTGTTCCACACTGCACACAACCATATCCCTGTTCTTTGCTGCTCTCTAGCATCCCCTATTGAAAAGCTCTGTAGCCCAACTCTCCTCAAGTCGAGTTCGGATGCAGATCCTTGCAGGAATTCTCAAAGCTGTCGCCTTTGCCACCACAGTGTGTTGCGCTGGAGGGTCAGGCTCGCATCAGTGTGGGATGGGAGTGGCAGCGTTAACCAGCTCCGCTGATTGCAAAGAGTAGAGGAGTAAAGGTGGGGAGGAGAAGAGGAGAAAGCACATGGTCAGAGGAATTCAGTAGAAGGTTGGAAGTAGCCTTGTGGCTGCAGAGCCTAGTGGGGATGTTGAATGCCTCTGCTGTTGGCACCCTCACAGCTGGGCTAGCAGGGCCCGTTTCAGGATTTATTATCTAAACCACTCTGCGATCACACTGGGCTGAAATTTATGAGAGAGGGGTTGACCATGTGGCTGCATTGTGAAAATGATTTAGATCCGTAGAAGGTGAGGGGCCCCCAAAACGCTCATCTCATCCACGGGCTGCTCAGCTTGCATTAGCCAAGCTCTGTCCCGGAACGGCTTGGACTGTGGAGGGTGTTTGTGCTCCCCTTGCGAGTGCTGAACCATCTGTACAAAGTTCTCTTACTAGCTTGTCCCATGGCCCAAGCCTGGGAACCCAGATCTTAATGCTTCCCCAGCTGGAAGGTGCCCACCCAGGGACATTGGACTGTTAACCATTTGTGCACTTTATGGGGATTGCTCTGTTAGCTTCCCATTAGTCCAGTCTCCTCCAGCCTCTTGCTGCAGGGGTGAGACACAGCGGAGGTCTGGGGGCGAGGGGGCAGAGCCTGCACTGCTACAGCCTCTTCTGTGGCTTTAGAGAACTTCTGTTCTTTGGGGCTCTGCATCCAGCCCCTTTTCACCTGTACTGACATCGTTCAAGGGAAATCTCTATCACATCCTTGGCTGTATTCTGAGTCTGAACGGCTGGGTGCTGCATTACATAGCTGCTGCTCTATGGACCTGATTCCCATTTACACTGAGGCTCCTTTACACCACTTTGGCACTGTAAAATGGGCCTTACGGTTGGTAGACGTGATCTTGTGGCCACTTTAAGGCCTATTGCCACTGCCAGAAAGGGGCCTTGAGATCTTGGTACAACTGAGAATTGGTCCCTTGTGCCCACTGGAATTGCTAGCATCTGTCTAGCCCTGGTGCTGGCTTTCTGACCACTGACTGTATATCGTGCACGCAGTCCATGAGTTTAGTCTCCCAGCTCTCATGGGTAACGTGCTGCATCGGGCATCAGAGCTGGAGTAGAATTTTGCCCTTAGTCACTAACCACAAACTACATTAAAAATGGGAAGCAGCAATTTGTCTGGCTTTGTTTAAAAAAACTGAAGTGTTTATAAAAACTACATAGAAAATATAGAACTTAAACAGGCAGCAAGTTGCAAAAAGGCTCTTGGCTATTGCTGAATAACAGTATTTTTATCAAATACATCTTGTTAACGTACATCTCATGCTGTTGCAAGGAATGACGCTCTGTAAAGACACAAACTAAATAAACAAATGTGTCTCCAATTGAGAAACCTCCCCCTTGGTTTTAGTCTCTTCCTCCTCTCTCGGGCCACATATTTCTCTGGCCAGGAAAACACAGCCCCTGCTGTAGGAAAAGCTTTAGCCTCCAAGGCTTTCAGACCTAACATGCAGCTCCTGTCTGTCTTTGCTCCCAGGATCTGCCTCCTGGTTGTGTCCTCGTCATATCTGGCATTCCGGATCTTCCGTCTGGAGCAGCAGCTCTGCTCTCTGAATCGGGACTACCTCTCACGCGGGCACCGGAGGTAGGAGAGTGCTCAGCTCTGGGACCCTCGGGTGACAAATAGGGGGCCCACAGGGCCATGTTTGTACAGACTTTGTTTTAGGGGTGTGCCTATATGATAAAATCAGGGTCCCTGCTTATGGGCTGTGGACAGTAAAGATCCTGTTGCGCGTTACAGAAGAGATGCAGTGTCTTGCCCATATATCCCCCTGCCCACAGTCTCCCTCTCTGGTGCATCTTCAGCGTGGCAGTTGCCTTCCACGTGAAGCTGGTGGCATTTCCACAGTGCTCTCTGTGAATCATCTGTAATGTGCTTGGGCTCCTTCCACATGAAAGGTGCAATAAATAAAATTACCCCTGCAAGGTGGCAAGTGCACCTGTAGTTTGTGCAGCAAGACGTCTGACTTTAACTCAGCAGAATGGAGTTAATTTAAAGTGACCTGGGGAAGGTCCCATTGCTGTCACTGAGACTGGTTCTTTGGCACTGGGACAGTCCTGAGGAGCAGCGCCTGCTGCTTCCCAGCCAAGGGAGCCAGTGAGAGGTATTCTTGCCATTGGCCTGAGGCTAGCACCAACCTCGCGGCTGGGTGCCGTTCCCAGCATTGGCAAGGAAACGAATGTGAGCAACCTTCTAACCCAAATCCAGCATATCTAATTACTCCTGAGGGCATTCTGTGCCAAAAAATTAAAAATTCTGTGCACAATATTTTAAAATTCTGCAAGTTTTATTGGTCAATAAATAAATGCAAAGCTCCAGCATGGCAGTGGGGAGCACAGGCCACTGGCTGCACAGAGATGGGAGATCACCCTGCAGCCTCCCCACCCCCAGGACATGGAGTCAGTGGTGAGGCTGCACCCAACCCTGACACAGCGCAAGGCCTGGGCCTGTCCTAGAAACACTCTGGGGCACTGCCCCTCTGTGCCAGGTACACCAGGTGTGGGTGGGCAGGCTCAACCAGGCAGGATCCAAGTATGGAGGGGCTGAGTTTGGGGGTGGGGGACCCAGGGGTGAGGTGAGATAATTCTGTGTGGGACAATCTGGGTGCAGGCAGCTCAGTGGGGGGGGGCGCTAGGTGTGAGGGGATCTGGATGCACAGAGGCTTGTTGGGGGGATTCCAGTTGCAGGGGCTCAGTGGAGGGATCTAGGTGTGGGGGTTTCAGCAGGGAGGCCTGGGTGCTGGGGGAGTGTGGCTTGGTGGGGGGGGTACAACTAGTTGGGGGTCAGTTGCATGGGGATCTGGATGTGGGTGCGGAGGGTGGGTCTTATCAGGGTGGGGGTTTGAGTGCAGGGAGCTCAGTAGAGGGTGGTCTGGGTGCAGGGGTGGGGGTCCTGAGGCAGGGGGTCTGGGTGCAGGGTGCTCCAGATGCAGGGATTGAGGTTCAGTGGGGTGGGGTTCAGGTATGGAAGGCTAGGGGGGTTCTGGGTGTACGGGGTGAGGCTTGGCAGTGGTGTCTGAGTATGGGAGATCCAGATGCATGGGAGTTGGGTGGATGTGGGAGCAGTTCCCCGTACAGTGACCCCTCCCCCTGCAGCTGATGAGCGATGGGGGCAGGAAGCAGGAGAGGATGCTGAGCTTCCTGCAGCTGGGGGAGGTTTCTGGGGGTGGGTCAGACACAGCCCTGCAGTGATTTACCTCTCCGCAGGCTGCTCCAGGTGTCTGAAACAATGTACCTGCACAGCTAGGGAGTGGTGCTTGACTGCTCTTGCAGCTTCCCTCTGCTTCTATGTCAGAAAGTCATTTTTCTGCGGGGAAGCAAAGAAATCTGTGGGGGACATGACTTCTGCGCACGTGCAGTGGTGCAGAATTCCCTCAGAAGTAGTATCTGGTGCTGCTTCCCCTGGTAGCATGAGACCAAGCACTGAAGAGCAGTCAGGCTTGCACTGGCAGGAGATGCTGGATGGGTAAGAGCTAGTTGGGTCTTTCCCCCTGTAATGCTCATGATTGTGGTCGGATATAGCATCACTCCAAGTGACTGTGTCATGCCTGCCCTCACTTATCCCCCAGCACAACGCTAGTGGCTCAGCATCTCCCTGATTGTGGGAGAACGTTTCTAGTGCAGTTACAACACTTCCCTGCTGATTGCTCCAGCGGACCTGTCAGGACTGCCTTACGGTCTGATCCTCCTGCAGTGACTCCAGCAGGAGCAGGACCTGACCCGTAGTTTCCATGACTCCAGAGCAGCGTCGTGGCAGCATAGTCAGTGATGGAGTGCTGGACAGGGACCTGCTGCAGTGCAGGGAAATGGTGCCTGTGGATTGCCCCCTACAGGATGTGATAGGTCTTTTAAGAGATGGGATCTGCCCCCTGTCACTCCTCCCCTGCACAATGCCAGGAATAAGTTCCTTGGGGGACCTGGGGTCAAGGCAGGGCCCTGTATGGGTTTGCTTGCCTTCATCTTCCTCTGTGTTTCTGTTTGCAGGTGACCGTCGCCCCAGAGCTGTGGCTCACGATGGACTTTGACAGGAAAATAGCATTTTGTGTACAGATCTCCAGGGCGTCCTACTGGTGAGCGTGTCTGCAATATCGAGAGAGTCTGAATCCAGGATTGCTCACTCTTTTATTCCATGTTATTTCTGGCTCGTGACACCTCCTTTTGCAATTGCAAAACCCCACATCCCTCCCTCCCTTGGCCCGTCATGCTATGGGATCGGACTGGAGCCCAGCAGGCCATCCATGCAGTCACTTCTTCCAAGCGATAGCCACCTCTTTGTACAAAACCCGCTGCCAAGCATTGACTGTTTATCAGAGTCTTGGGTGCAGCTTCGTTGGACGGCGGCTCGAGCTGCATCTCCAGCCGGATTCTGAGAGCAAGTAAGAACAGTTAGTAGCTCGATGGTCCAGGAATCGTTTCTGTTGAGCATAGGAGGTGTCACAGCAGCATGCAATCTGCTGCGCCCTTGATCAGCACACTTAGGACCAAATACTGTTGTTCTTCTACCAGCAGAGACTCCTGCTCAAGCAGGGACAGACTGTCAATATAGCCTGAGCTGCTGCCAGCAGGACTCCCCTTCTTTTCAATTGGCAAGGGCCTGGTGCTAGTGAAACCACATGTTCTTCCAGGGGCCTTGGCTTTGGCCCAGATACACGGTGCCCGGAGCCAAATCACCATGATAGCGGGAGACTCTAGCACAATGACACCAGCATTGGGCCATCGTCGCATCCATCGGACGGTGGCACAACAGATTACAGGTGACCGGGCCTTTCTGGTGTGACACTGCTGGGCCCACTCCTAGGACGACTCAGTGTTCAAGTTACCACCATTTTTATTCCTAATTCTGTTCTGTTTTCTTTTTCAAGGACAACCGTGGACCTCCGTTAAGTGAGAAGCCCTGGTAGCAGAGACTGACCCTCCGTACAGAGCTCAGGATGGGGGACACAGCTGGGGCATGTTCTGTTCTCCCAGAACACACATCCCACACTCAGCTAGTTCTCCTCAGGACGGATTTCCTCTTGCCCTTCGGGGTTTCCACATTACCCTTCCACACTGGGCCTTGGCCTAGCTGGGTCCCAAATGCATCTCTGCTTAGGTGCCAGTGTTCATACTCAGGCAATAGCTCAGTTACAGTAGTTGTCATAACTTTCAGTGTAAAAATTACAGCTCCAGTGAGATGTCAGACAGGTTCGAGGCCTCTTGGCCTGATACCTGCTGAAGTCAGGTTCTTCAGGTGGCAATAGCAGACTGTTAGTTGTGGGGATTCTTGTGTAACTCACATCCCCTGTGAGGCTAGTGTGCGCAGCATAGATCATGCTTAACTGTCCCACATCCCTTCCAAAACGTACCACGGTCCCTGTGCCAGCGTTCCTTCAGGGCAGAAGAGGTGAAAATAAAGGGATGAGGTGGTTCGCTAACCCCAAAGCCCAGCCCCACCCAGCGCTATGCAGAGTACGTGCCATACTGTAATAATACTCTGCTGCACTGGGCAATCCAGGGAAAGGGCAGCCCGCCCATCCGCAAGCAGATGCAAATCAAGGCCGACCTGCACAGGGTAGAGTTTGGCAGTGGGGAGATGAACGGGCTAGAATTAGACCCCTCATTCGGCTCCCTGAGGAGGCCAGAGGGACAGTTTAGAACAAGATTCAGGAGGGCTCTGTTTGAAAGGCGTCTGCACTTTAAGGGAAATACAGAGACTGGCCAGGAACCAGCAATGCTGAGTCCAAACTTGGAGTGACGGTTGTCTGATGGCAGTGCCAGGCATGCTGTGTTCTCCACATGGGGCTCCTCAGCACCCCAAGTTTCTAACCACAGGAGAGGGCTGTATTGGAGCACCCCCAAAGAAGAGTCAAGAGGTGGGCCTGGAGCTGGCCTTTGGGTGGTGGGTTTGTAGTAGGATGTAGCCCTGCTGCGATCAGGAGCCAGCGAACACCTTAGAGAGGGCAGGAGGAATAGCTGTGTCTGTGTTCCCTCAGAAGCTCTGTGTCGTCAATATCTAAATGAAACTTCCAGTGCTCTGTGGCCTGACGCTGGGGAGTGCAGGGACTGAGCAAAAACCCTGCTGTACATGGGGGGACAATGGAGCTGTGGGGGATGGGATGGGAGGCATGAGTGCAATGCTAGAAGAGGCTGAGCTCATAAATATTCAAAAGCCTGGCTGGGCTGATGCATATTAGGAGTCCGGCCTGTTTAGCGTTCTAGAAGCACCTCTCGTACAGCCACTGTAACCATGCACTTTAGGAGCCTGATCCAAAGTCAATGGAACGACTCGCATTGACTCCAGCGGGCTTTGGATCAGCCCCTCATTCCCCTCACGCTGAATAAAGCTGTCTCTGCATCGCTTGCGTGTGTGAAGCGCTTTGGGATCACGTGGAGCGAAAGGTGGGAGACAGACACAATATGGTGCAAGCAGCACCAGGACGCAGCACTCCCCTCACACCAGCAAGCAGCTTGTATAACTCTGGCGTCAGGATGCCCGTGATTCCCTCAGTGAGTCATTCCAGAAGGGATGCGCCCAGCAGTTCTGAGTAGGCTGCTGGAGAGTGGCCATGTTGCCACCAAGGTGGCTGCCTGTTACTCACCAATCCCCACTTCTCCAGTGTGTGTGTGCATCCGGCATCCGCTCTTTGGGTTGATTGTGTTTGAAAGCACTGCTAAACCGAAGTGCCATGTACCCCTGTGAGCTCTGCAGGGAGCAGCGTCCTGCCTCCGCTGTCCCCCCCCCCCCCTTCCTGCCCTGGCAGCCGATCTCACAGGGGAGAGGAGTACAGCTAGCAAGGAGGGTGTGTGGATTGGCTACAGTGCCACAAAGTGCCAGGAAATGCTTTATGCCAGGGATCATTTCGGGAGTGGAGTGGGAGGTCTGACTCACTGTCTTGCACAAATGACAGCTCAGCTTTTCAGAGTTCAAATCTCTTTCAGTGTTTAACAAAAAAAACCAACCCTCCAGTCACATTAACCCACGCTCCTGGGGATGAGGTCCCAGCGAGCAGTGGGGTGTGGGCTCGCTTTGCGGATAGCGCTCCGCTCCTCCATTGCTGGAACTGCTTGTCTGCGGATTGGCCATGAAAACTGCTCTTGCACATTTGCTTGGGTCAGGACTGCTCCCGGCTTTCACCCTGTCCCCTATAAACATATGACATCAGAACCCCTGCAGCTGGCAGAGGTGCACATTGACTGTGTCAGCCACAGCTCTTGAACTGCTATGGTAGTGCTGGCAGCTTCCTGCCAGCAGCAGGATGCCTGGGAGAGAGAGAGGGCTGCAGTGGGTGTAGCCACGTCTGCTGTATTGCATGGTGCCATCCAGGGAGGAGTACTGTGATGCTGACTCCTGCTTCAAAGCACAGCACTTACAGAGCTGCGGAGGGGGCTCTGCAGGCCGTGGCAGGACTTGCAGAAAAAGAACAACACACTCCATGACCTAACCTCTGTGTGTCTGGGCTGAGCTCATTCAACTGCCATTAACCTCACCGC